TTTGAGAAACGATGTACAAATGCGCTTTACACAATTGATGTGTGTATGGATTGGGATAACAGTTGTATGAGCCCCTAATAAAATGTTAAAAAAATAAATAAATAAATTAAGTATAAAAAAAAAAAAGTGGGAAAAAAACAAACAACTCATTTTATTAGGAGCTCATACAACGGTTATCACAATCCATACATACATCATTTGTGTAAAGTACATTTGTACATTCATTGCCATCATCCTTCTCAAAACACTTGCTCTCCACTTAAGCCCCTGGCATCAGCTCTTCATTTTCACCCTCCCTCTCCACGCCCCCTTCCCTAATGAACCCTTGATAATTTATAAATTATTATTTTGTCATATCTTACACTATCTGACGTCTCCCTTCACCTACTTTTCTCTTGTCCATCCCCCAGGGAGGAAGTTATATGTAGATCCTTGTAATCGGTTCCCCCTTTCCACCAAAATGTTTTTATATAAACGGGCTCTGTGCCCATTCGTGGTGCACATTCATGGGTAACATGTAACATGGAATGGCACAGAAAATATAGAAAAGTGTTCCATGAGATTTTAAAATGCAGCTATGAACCAGTTCGGCTGGTTTGGATTAGGCAATGGGTGCGGTAGCTGATTTTAATCTCTGCCTCAAGCAGGTCTGATCATTCTACTGGGATCATTTTATCACTCACAAATGTTGCCTGCTGATTTCAGAAACGTGGTGTGGATGGGATCATTTTATCACTCACAAATGTTGCCTGATGATTTCAGAAACGTGGTGTGGAAAAGTGACCCACCAATGTGTACCATGTAGGAAATGGACAATGACGGGCTAAGAATGTCTGGTGTTCTTTTTTGCTTGTTTCATGAGGTGCCAGAAACAGTGGGCTTTCTGGGACTTCAAAAGGGAAACAAAACAACTCACATTCTTGACCTGTCCATTGTCTACTTCAGACAGTGGGCTCCATGTCTATATGCAGGGTACATACTGATGAATGACACCTTTTCTGAAATCCTGGGGCAACATTTGCAGCTGACAACCAGCCCACCATTTAGGGGAGGGACTGTGGAAAGGGGTAATATGAGTAAAACTTGTCACCTTCTCTGTGACCATGAAGAACCTTGTGCTTAGGACTAGATGGGTTTGTCTGGCTCAAGAGAACAGGATGAAGGTCTGGGCTGACTCCCTTTTAGGGGCCATCTTGATCCCAAACCCCTCCTATTAGCTATCCGGGTCTAGCAGCACATGCTCTCCTCTTGGCCTGAGCCCATGGAAACATTCCCAGGATCCGCTTAACTTAGGGTACAGCAACTGGCCAACTCAGCTTCTATGTGCTTCTGGAGGGAAGGGAATGGGATCATTCTCCTGAAGTACAAGGGGGATGTGTGCAAACCATCTTCCTGATATGGCTGTGTAGCAAGACCCATTCATTGGCCACAGGGGCATCAATGGCAGCTACTGAAGCTGTTTCATCTAGTGAGACCAGTGTTGCTCCACACAGTGCCTGTGTGTGAGTCGTTTTTATTTGTGATGTTGATTCCAGTAAGACAGGGGTAGATTGACATCAGAAGGAGGTTGGCATCTAGTGTTACTGCTCTGAGGGGTAGAATTCTTATTCTTGGCTTATTCTCCACTGGTGAGATTAGTAACTGGTAGCACTTGCTGGCCAAAGACACTGAATAAAACCACTGGGGTATTTCTCAACCTTAGAGAAAATCTTTCTTTCTGGAAAAAGGCGGCTGTGGCTCAGGCACCTGATGGGCATTTGGGATAAGCAAGGGCAAAATGTCCAACACAATGACTGCCCCCGAGTTGATTCTGACTACACTGACTTTATAGGGCAGGGTTAGAACTGCCCTGTGGGCTTTCAAGACTGGCTCTTTGTGATAGTAGAAAGCCTCCTTTTTCTCCCTAGCAGCTGCTGGTGGTTTCTAACTGTTGACCCAAGCAAGGCAAAGGGTGTCGGGGAGTAAAGTCAGGAAAGCTTGGCCTCCAAAGAGGAAGATGCTGGTGTTACATTAAAAAAATAAAAAAAATCACGGTACTTCTCAGCTGGAACGCTAATGGAAAGAGGTCAGAGATCTTTCATTCCTTCCTCTTCTTCTCAGCTATCTCAGGTAAAGGTATTGTCCCAAGAAAGCAAAGGAGACATAGGAGCGAACAATAAGCCATGAGATAGCATCGTTTTATCACAATTCTCAACACACCACAGGAGGAAGCTCAGCCCCAGTGGGAGATTATATATATACTCTCCCCTTACCTTAAAAAAAAAAAATCCAAAAACCCAAAAGGAATCCAGAGTCCGGATGGGGACATTCTCCCTAGGACTCAGCACACACCCTCCTGTGCAGCGCCCGCGCTCACAGGAGCTGCCAGGACACGGTGGCCATCAGGCTACAGCACCATGTAGGAAATGGACAATGACAGGCTAAGGGTGGAATTCGGAATCCTCCCACAGTCTGATACCTCGAGAGCACTTCAACCTGTGCGCGGCTCGGAGACTACAGCAGACCGGGCACCGGCCGCTGCCACCTGTCCACAGCTCAACCATTCTCAGAGCACCAAGTACCGAGGCTCTTCATAGAAATGGCTGCGCAGGCTGAAAACTTTGAAATCGGGGCAGAAGTGGGTGGGCGTCTGCCCTGGAAGAACCCGGACGATCCATTGGCGACTCCCACCCCGCCAATTGCAAGGGGTGCGTCCCAAAGACCGTGCTGCCGGCCCCGAAGCGTGTTCTCCCAGAATGGGGGTGCCGGCCCGCCCCCAGCGCCCCCATCCCCCGCGGGATGATCCGGGCGCTCCTGGAACTCTTCCTCCGACAGGGTGGCTCCTCGTGCCCCCGGCTCCGGCCATCCTCCCCCCGCCGCCCCGTCCCTCCCCCCGGCCTCCGGAACGCATCTCCGTTGCCGCGGCCCCAACGAAGACCCTAAGGAAGACCCACGTCCCTCCGATGACTCACCGCACAGAAGAAACGTCCGGAGGCGTATACCACCCGGAAGCGGAAGTTGTCAGAAACGGAGCGGCTGGACTACATTTCCCAGAAGCCTCTGCGGCGGGCGAGTCGACGCAGGCTTCACCTAGGGACTTAAATTAGGCTCCGTGGCCCGCTGCTCCCCAAGGGAGCCAAGGCTCAGGACACTGCCCTGGCTCCTGATGACAGCAGCTTCTCTCTCCCTCTGTGTCTCTCTCGTTCTTTCTCTACCGGGCTGGAGATCCAAATCGATAGGAGCCATATTTCCTTTTCCTTTTTTAACTTTGAGACTTTCTTGGCTTTCTATTATGACAAAATGAAAATTTTTACAAATCATTGGGCAGATTAGAATTGAGTAACTTTAGTCAGGGTGTGATGTAGCAACGATGAAACATACAACTTTCCTCTAGTTCCTAATTGCTTCCTCCTCCCCCACTATCATGATCCCAATTCTACCTTGCAAGTCTGGCTAGACCAGAGGATGTACACAGGTACAGATAGGAACTGGAAACACAGGGGATCCAGGACAGATGAGCCTCTCAGGACCAGTGGTGACAGTGGCGATACTGGGAGTCTAGAGGGAGGGTGGTTTGGAAAGGGGGAACCATTTACAAGGATCTACATGAGGTCACATGTAGGTGACAGTGGGTGACAGGAGTGGGTGACAGGAGACGTTGGACAGGGCAAGATATGACAACAAAAATAATAATTTATAAATTATCAAAGGTTCATGAGGGAGGGGGAGCTGGGAGGGAGGAGAAAAAAATGAGCTGATGCCAGGGGCTTAAGTGGAGAGCAAATGTTTTGAAAATGAGGATAACGAATGTACAAATGTGCTTTACACAAATGATGTATGTATGGATTGTGATCAGAGTTGTATGAGCCCCCAATAAAATGATTAAAAAAAAAAGAATTGAGTAATGTTGAAGAATGTTAGCCTTTTTTGGCTCACACTCCTGTTATGTATAACAGGTGTTTATGGAGGTGTTAAGCATGTGACTCTAGTGGTCATCTGATTCTCAGAAAGTAAATCCACCACTCCTCCCCATTCTGATTT